CAATTGATTTTTGTTTGCAGAATGTTATAATTGTCATCAGATGGGTCATATATCACGTGATTGTCCAGAACGTCAGCGAGGAAGGCACGCTTATTCAGATCAACGTGAATCTCTGGACTGGAATAGGGGAAGGGCTGCGCAAGGCAATCGACGTTTCGATGAGATGCAGTCGGCTGGCAGAATATTCGATCCGGGTCGTCGACAGTGGATCGCGGTTGAGAATGGATCGAGAAAGGCGTTTGAAGGCAGCAACTTGAGGACAGGACCCCCACCGGAACGGCACAGATCAGCTGCACTCGGTGAGTAATAATTTCATTCATTCGTTGCTGTTGGTGAAAGTGAATGAGATTAATATTAATTGCATCGATTGCAACTATCAGTTTATTAATGGTAATGATGATGGTATTAAGTGGATTGAATGTGATAAACGATTTGCTTTTGATTTATTTTCAACTGTCGCAGTTTTGGTTTCATTGTTAGCTAGTGTAATTTTGATGCGCTGCTTTTCGTTCAGGTTTTGATATGTTACCTCAGAAAGAAAGGAGACAAGAGTCGCAAGCAATGCTCCCATGGAGCAACGATTATGGTGGCAGAACAGATGGAAAGCATTCGGGAAGAGACACTTTTCAACAGGTATAATAGTACGAGGATTTCTGCATTAGTGTACATTAATTTAGTGATTATTTTATTTTAATAATCATATGTGTATGCAGTGGCGTAGCTAGGTCTTCTTTCAGGGGAAGGGGAGGGGGGGGACGTGAAACGCTCTAGTCCAAAAAGTCGCTGAATTTTGGGGAATATTTTTCTGCGTTAATTTTTTCTTCCTTCTCTCTGCCCTCCTTTCTTTTCCTTCTCCTTTTTNCACTTTTTTTCTTCATTCTCCCCTCTTTCCTCTTCTCATTCCGTCTTCATTTTACGTTTCTTCCAGTCTCCAAGGGAAAAGGTGTGAGGGGAATGCTCCTTGCGCTGCTTCCTCTTTTTGTGTATGTCATTTTGTGTCATTTTGTATATACACATAATGAGTATAGTAATGACAGATACATTGCATTCATTTGTTGTTTTAGGATCTTTCTAAAGAAGCCTTCAGTGAGCAGTTGGATTCAAGTGCTCGTGCAACTGCTGCACTTGATGACGAACATTCGATCTTCGGTCTGCGAACAGGATCATCAGGGGAGCAGCGGGAGAAGAACGGATCATTTGGTGTACCGAAGTTCAGAAGTAAACACGACTCTGAAACTGAAGGAGATGAGAATGTTGAGGTTCAGGATGAAAACGCAGAAAACGAAGCTGTACGGTTAGGAGAAAGTCGGCCAGATTCAATGAAACAAGACGAACAACAGTCAGCGTCGGCCAACAGTATCGGCAAGACGATCCGTGATCATATTTGTAGGACTGATGGTGATGGTGATGGGAGAGCGAAGTTCGTTACTAAAGATGCAAAAGAATGTGGTAGTGACAGAAGTGTTGAGCGATATGGCGATCTGTGGTCGCGAATCAAGTCAAGGATAGATATTGATGCGCTGATTGGAAAACGAAAATATGTGAAAGTGATTCGATCAGATGCGTCGGTAAGTATCGTTGTGCTCTTCTGTGATTTATCAAACAGTTTATTTTGAGTTGGATCATGGTAATTGCTCATACAGGAGAACGCAAATCCAACTTCATTCTGCGTGCAACTGAGCAGTGATAAGGAACTCATCGACGAATTGAGTCTAGATGACATGCCGAAATGTTCATCGAAATTGAACTCACCTGAACCTGGAATGCTTTGTATGGCACCTTATTTCGACATCTTTTATCGTGCTCGAATCTTGCAGCTACTCGATGAGGGAACAAGGTGCGTATATTTGTTATTGTTACTTTGATTTGTCTGTAGCCGCATCACATTAATGCAATCATTGTTGTTTTT